CGATTCTGTTCGACGAAGATACGTCGTTTGTCACCCGTGCGAGGTATGCCGGCGCAAGCGTCGACGTTCGAGCGCAGACGCTTGTACGATGAAATGGTTCCTGTCGAGCCATGTCATTCGATTCGGGCTACAAGAGCAGCCGCAAGCCGTGCGCCAAATTGTCGGGCATCATCGTTGTATCAGGTACGGTGAGGCACGCTTCGACCTACTACATTGGAAATGTCTCTGCAATGGTGACGTCCCATCGTAATACAGCAGTGAGGCGACGGGTCCAAGAAGAATCCAAACAACAGGATACAACGATTGTATCGCCAATGACAAAGGAATTCGAGGGAGCTTAAGTCCGCAGTTGTTGTAGACACCGCCAGCACCATGGGATTGTACTTCATTCTCCACAACCTTAAAGGCATGTGCGAATCCATCTTGATGAAGAGAAAAGGGAGTACCAAGCTCATGAATTCGAGGTAACGAACCATCGAAACGCGACGTTTTACATAGGATCGCATTTGTCTATAAGCGTGCGTTGTTGTCGGAATGGGCAAGTGTCGATTCGACAAGGTCACGTATGATTGGTCAGAAATGAAACCAACAACAAACTTCAGCCAATCAAAAAAGTTTGAAGCGAATTTTGACAACAGTACAATTGCATCTGTACTTCTGAAGTGAGGACATCTTTAGCGATGTGATACAGTGTGAACGCCTCAGCGCTGGAATTCTCTGGGGGAGGCATTGACTGGACAATACATCCGATGGGTGACTGCACTGTTGGCATGAAGGTTTGCATGAATAATGTATTTGTACAGTCAGTTTCATGCAATCAACACAAGCTATCTGTAGGTAAACTTGGTCAAATTTCGACGCCCTAGCACGTTTGGGGCATGTAGAGCCGTGAAGGACCTGCAATTTGCTCTGCCATCGCATGTCACGTGTTGTGTGTGCGGCATTCTCTGTCGTGGACGATTGATGCGGCGGGATCAAGATCCTATCAATCGTTCGAGGAATAGCGGGAGCAATTTACATTATTTCGCACTGTCAGGGCCTCAGACTCGTGTACATCTACTCGTCATTCGTTTCTTCAATTGATTTCGCCGCTTGTAACGGCCTGAACACTATGTTAAGTCGCGAAAGTGTTGCATAAGAATGCATGCGCGACTTCCTCCTCTTCAAGTGTAGGCGGGTGCTCTGAATCGTATTCGCGTTTTGTGCTATTCTTACAACGTCGTTTCCCAACGGTAAAGAGCTGCCTCGAGGCAGCCATCAACCACTCGCCAGCAAAATTCGTTGTGCCAACGTCACATAACGCAAAGTCCCAACCGCTTGTCAGGGCTCCGCAAGGGCGAGCCACAATGCCATCCCTCGCCGTCGTCCCTTCCACCGGGACGCTCCAACGTGGGTTCGACGTTAACAAGGCTGCCAAGGTCCGATCGCGGCTCAAGTTGACTCTGACGCTCGTGAAACGTATGGCGGGAATCTTGTGTGCCTCGCTCCTAACGATCGACGTATTTGCCAACAACTGGGAGATTATGAACTACGTTGGGAACGGAAGGCATTTCCTGACGCCGCTGCTTGACGTTGACACCGTCGACGCATTGGAAGCCAGGTACTCGTTTCCTCCAATGAAGTCCCCCAACGGCGTGTCGAAAGTTGGTCGGTACATGATCGAATTCGCCCTGGCGCAGCTCCTTGACGAGGATGGCGCGGCGTACGTGCTCAGCATGGGCTCGTTTGCCGTGCATGACGCGTCGAGCAACCTGTGCGGGAGCCTCGTCCAGACGTACCCCGTCATCGCCACAGCCATCTCCAAGAACAACTCCATTCGGGTGGGTACCATCAAGGATGGCGTCACATATATTCGGGGCAATACGCTCACCCACTGGTTCGGCTCGACGCTGACGGCCCCTCAGGCCGTCCCCGGAACCGACGACGATGATCTTCGCGCCATGGGATACGTTCCTGGGCGTTCGTACACTGACATGCGAGTAACGACCCCTCTCCCACTTTCATCTCCCCGCCAACTCATCGCACTCAACGTGTCCATGTACCGCTTCTTCTCGACTTCATTCTGCTCTGGATGCCATCCATACACCGAACTCGGCATCGACGTGTGTTCGGTAGTGTACTGGTACAACGACACGGCCAAGACGGTCACACTTAAGACGAGCGACCGCATCGGGGGTGCCCGGCACGATCTTGGGATCATGTTTCAGCGATCGTGGGAATCTACCGCTTCGCTGATTGTCCGGATCGTGTGCATGGTGATGCTGCTGGGGGCGTTTGGCGCCAGCGAAAAGACCGTGCGGTGGACAGAGCCCAGCGACGTGGACACAACGTTGAAGCGCCTCATGTACCTCGTTAACCCTGCAAAGTACCGTCACTCGAGCGAGGCGTTCGAGTTTGCCTACCTCTGCTTCAACAGCGACGTCGCCGTGTTTCTGTACACGCTGGCCGTCCTGTTTGACGAGAATTTGGCCATTGTGTTTTCCCAAACATTGCACCGATGGGCACAACAGAGCAATACGAATGGATGGGTCGAGCTGCGGTTGATGGCGTTCAGTCTTCGTTGGTTGTGGTTCAATTGCCTTCTTTTGAAGGCAGCCAAGTGGCTGTGCAATTACGTGAGCAACTCCCAGTACACGGGGCAAAATGTCGTCATGGGATGGCTCAACTTTAGCTCCGTGACGTGGATTTACCTGTCGTACGTCGTCCTGGCGATGCGGAATACCTTCATTGAATACGGTAACTCGGTGCGATTGACCATCGATTCGACGGCGCAAAACTTGGATGGGACCTCGGTCGACTTTTTCGACAGTTGGTACATCCGCGCGATGGGGCCGCTCTTGATTGTCATGGCGTGCAACTTGGCACTCGTGCTAGTACTCGACCGGTTTTGCAATCGATCTTGGTGGCGGCATATGGCTAACAACTCGCTTTGTCGGCAGTACATGTATAACTCCACGTCGATCCTCTGCAGCGACAACCTTCACTTTGTTCCACGACGTGGCTTCACTGGGTCGAGCATCGAGGTCAGGGCGCGCATGCTGTGCACGATGCAATGGTTTCTGTCGAGCCACGTGCTGCGTTTTGGGCTGCAGGAGCAACCGCAGGCTGTGCGAAATATTGTCGCGACCAAATCAACGGCCGTGGGAGGGGCAGGCCACCGCCATCATGGCCAACATGGCACCGTCAGCGGGGGTGGCGGCCGAGATTCCGAGTCGTCGTCCGTGAGTTCCAAACGCGGGTCGGTGACCAGTCGGCGACACGAAGAAGATAAACAGCAGCATTGGACATCGCCCATGATTGATGAAGACATTCGGGCAAGCTCCGACTCGGCCGCGGACGCCTCCGCCAGTCGTGACATGCACCTCATCGTCCAAGACCGTGACGGCCACGTGCGCATGTTTGACGCAGACAAGCGCGAGTTGCAAGCACTCGGGCTCGAGATCAAGATCCTCCGGGACTCGACCTATCTTGTAGCGTAACCTCCTCGACAATCCACTTTTGTTGGACCCAAAACAGATCAGGTAATCGACGCCATCGAGATAACCCAATGCCGTCTGATTGGCTGTAAAGTGAAACCGATGTTGATCTTGTCCAATCAGAGTCGTAACTGACCACCCCAACGGTTCGAGTTGAATGCGATCCACGACATCGTGAGGGGGCGGCGCCACGGACGACCACACGGACGCATTCGCCGACAGGCGAGCTCTTCCAGCATGAATATACTTACGACCGTCGCTGAGTGCATGCCGACCCAACGTGATTGCCGCTCCACGGGAAGGCAAACTGTTTCGAGGAACACGTTATGGTAACTCGAACGGATAACTCCATGTCGGGCTTCTCCCATGCTTACGGTTTTTCACGGACAAGGTAATGCTGAGACCACATTACAGCCGGACGATTGGTGTACAATAAAAACCTCAGGTAGATGGGTACTTACTGTGCCCATACATCTCGCACATTGAGTCAGTGGTTTCGACCCACCCCACCGCGGGACGTCGCTGACATGGAAACATTTGTGCATCATGTTACGGGCAATAACGTTAACGCGTGTGTGGATCAATGACGGTCAAGAGAATTTTCTCAACATGCTGGAGATCCCGTCAACAGTGCGCGTCAACCAAGCAAGATGACCACCATCTTGGCGTTTAAAATAACCCTGAGTCCAGTCGTCGAACGGCTTTGGTGCGATTGGGCGAAACTGGGGCCAAGCAATCTTATGTTGGATGTTCTCAATGGCATGAACGGAGGGAATGGTCAGCGCGACCGATCAAGAGGTGGGAGACGATGACGACTGGCACTACCAACAAGTGCTCGCCCAGAGATGTCTTGACCTCGCCAGTCCGCCGCGCTGGCAGCCTCAACCACTACAAACAAAGTTGTGCTGCACGAGTAAAAAAATGCAACCCCTCCGATCGGCCGAGCATCTATATCTGGCCATTGTAGTATCGAAACAGGTTTCCACCAGCAACCATCCATCTTCCCTTGCCCCTTTTTGGACGTTGCACAGTCCCCCCACCGATGGGGTTATCCTGGTGCATCTGGTATGACATGCCGTGATTCGAAACCTACGAATAGATTGGGGGTGCCCAGACGCACCTGACATTTTTTCTTGGTGACATTCTACCGCCGCGCCACTCGACTACCAACATGAAATCACTCGTCGTCGCGCCATCGATGGGCTCGCTGCATCGTGGCCAGCACGTGACTCGTACCACGGAATACCGAAATTGCTTCCGCGCGGCGCGCTCTAGAGCAACTCGACTCGCCGGGCTCTTTTGCGCGATTCTGCTGACCGTGGACGTCATCGCGAACGACTGGGAGCTCATCAACTACGTTGGGAACGGCAAGCATTTTCTCAGCCCATTGCTCGACTGCGAGTCGGTGGACGTCCTCGAAGTGGAGCACTCATTCCCTAAAGACACGTCCCCCAACCAAATTTCCAAGGTCGGCCGGTTCATGATTGACAGCGCTCTGACTCAAATTCTGGACCGCGCTGGGACGTCGTATGTCCTGAGCATGGGGTCGTACGCCATTCGAAATCCAGTCAGCGACATTTGTGGCGACCTCGTCCAGACATACCCTGTCCTGGCGTCGGCAACAACTAGCAACCAATCGATCCCTCTGGCCACGGTCAAGGACGGCATCACGTACATCCGCGGCAACGCACTGACGCACTGGCTTGGCTCGACTTTGACGGCACCACACGCGATGCCCGGTACAACCGACAGTCGGCTGCGGGACATGGGCTACGTCCCTGGTCGTGCGTTCGCCGACATGCGCGTGACGACCCCCCTTCCGATCCCGATCCCCGGTCGGTTGAGTACATCCGAGCTGCCCATGTACCGCTTCTTCTCGACGTCGTTTTGCTCAGGGTGTGC